ATTTGTTTTGTGTTGTTAATTGTAACATACATGATTGTAAGCCGTTATTTTTAAAAAGAAGTCCCGCTGGGTTTCTTTATGGTTGTTCCCAGGACAGAGGTTTTTTCCGAACCAATGGTAGGTATATTAAAAAAAGGGATTTTGAATAAGTATTTTTATAATCTATGTTGAATAAAAAAGTTTCCGTTTCTGCTAATAGATATATTACTTTTACATAATTATATCGAAAAACGCATTAGCTTTTTAAAATTTTAAGATTGCTAGAAATATGATGTTTATGTTATTTCAAACAGAAAACAATTGAAAAATCACTAACAGCTACTAAGTTTATATAACAAATCATGGATTTATTTAAACATTGAAATGAATAATTTAATTTTTTAAGAAGGTTATGACTTATGATACCTATAATTTTAAGTTTCATTGCCTTTAGACAAAAAATATAAAACTTATAATAAATAGGGAATTCTTTACTACCCTTTTCAAAATTGTATAAATCCAAATAATACTACAGAATACATTTACTACAGAAAAAAGAAATGCAAATTTTATATTTTATAATGTGTTATTTTAACAACAAATATGAAAAATTGTTAGTAAGTATATAATAAAAGTGAATAATATATATATATATATATAATACAAAGTATGACATAAATTATTCATGTATTTAGAACTTGTACAAAACAATAAAACCAAAAACCAAAAAAAACGGGGTTTTTGTTTTTAAAAAAAAAAAAAAAAAAAATGTAAATTAAATAATTTTAAAAATCTTAAGAATCGACAGACTCTTATAATAATAATTAAAAAATATCACACTGCACAGGTGCAATGTTACCTCTAATCTTCTTTAACCTTTTTGAGCTTAATCTTCTCGGCCTAGGCTGCTGGTGCTGCTCGCTGGACTACAATTTCTTCTATTTTCGTAAACTCACATGATAGAATATCTTTTACTCCAAATTTTATCTTTCTTAGTAGAGATCTTTCAGAAATTTCCTCAAAAGATTTGTAATATTTTGGCCTTTTATCATATTCGCATTTAATTTTCTTTTAATCATAATCGGTATAATTGCGTTTAATACATTAAATAATAAAATAAATTAATTTTTAATACGTTTGTATGTTTTTTTTATTTTTAGTTTTACAGGTAGCGGCGCCGGTGCGCACGCATTATCGCAGCGCACCACCTGGCAGGGACGCCACGAAAAAGCTGTCAATTATTGGGCGACGTGTTGAACTGTCTAGGTCTTTAATAAAACTACTCTCGTATTCTGAACTTAATTATAATACATAATTATGTCGTGTGGGCTACAAAACTACACGGTTATACGATCACTAACAAATGCACCAACGTATATAAACATAGCTGCAATCATCTCATCAGGTTCTGTATACGATTTCGATAATTTTATTGAATATTAATTATAAATATTTTTCATGCGTAATGATTTCTTATATTTACGCGAACACTACACATTGATTAAAACTACTTTTACGGATTTTCCGGGAAGTCTGCAGTTTGTGATCATATAACGCCCACATTACACAATAAGACAAACCGCGAAAAAAAAACAATTCTCAAAGGCGGGGCACTTGGGACCCTATAATCAAAAAAATTAAAACTAAGCCCAAGCATACCACTGCAGGACTTCAAGACACAGTCAGTTAATTTTGCATAGATCGGACCATAAACAATAATTAACCTTTTAAGCGCGTGGCTTGGGCTTGGCTACATGCCCTTAGCACGTGGCTACAAATCGATAAAATAATACCTACAATAAATAAGGAGGAGCAATCGTTGTATCGATTAAAAAATTGCCAAAGTTTTTTATTTTATTTTTTTTATTTTAAATCAGCCTTAAATCAAAATTATATCGCAATAATCTCTTATAAATCGACTAGTTATTTTCCCTTTTCTTATAAATCAACCTAGAATAAATTTTTGAATCACAATTGTTTTATTTGTTTTTTTTTTTGCTAATCAGTTACTAATTCTTAAATCACATTAGAGTAGAACGCCGATTATCTCAATTAATTAGGACCGGGATCGATTCGGATAATCGAAAATTCGGATAATCGGACATACTGGTAATAAAAAAACGAACTGTCACACACAAAACATGTAGTGTCTTGCCTCTAGCTTTCAACCATAACAGTTGAAATATATCTGGACTCCAGCGAGGTCCAACTTGTTACAAGAAAACAAAACAAAAATTACATTACTTACTTACAGTACTTGGTTTTAATTTTTTATATTACGCTTAGGACCGATTCGGATAATTGGCGATTCGGTTAATCGGCGTTCGGATAATTGGTTTTCTACTGTAATTTACACTTTTCCTCAGTATCTATTAGTTCAAATGTAATTATTTACGAATTTATAATAAATAGGTATAGTTGTTGCAATTCACAAGCGCACTTTTCATTTAGATGTGTTGAACTCATATTTGTATATTCGCGCAGAAAATTAGTGACAGGATATGTACCTACTTCAGTATCGAAATTTAGTCGATAGTTTCTATCTATGGTACTCCGCAGCACATGTGTCAACGCAAATATAAACATTACACATTACACACATAAACCGCGTGTGTGATCTCTTATTCTTAGTCGCGCACACTTTACAACGCTGACTTTTGCCACTGGGAATTCTCACAGGAAAATGTACCAAAGCATCGTTATGTAGACTGCGAGGAGGATTGGACTGACTACAAGAAGTGAATGCTTGGCTAGTATTTGCAATTAATCTTTTATTTTTTTCCAAAAGTTGCCTTATCACATTTAATTGAAAATCTGCAAAACAATGTTTTTTGTTATTATTATAAGACTCTGAACAAATAGAAAGCATTAAGCATAAACAAATCGATGATGTGGAAGCCTAATTTTTTATACCACTTCCTGGTTTTCCTTATACAGCCTAAGGTACTCATCATCATGTCGGCGGTGTCCACCGAACCCATATTTTTACTATAATCTATTACACATTGCGGTTTTAATTTAGGCAGACCAGTAAATTGATCCAAATTATCTGACGGAACAATTTTGTCATCATGTATGGTAGACAGCACGATAACAGCTTTTTTGTCTTGCCATTTTAACGCTAAAAGAGGAGGAGATGAATATGCTTCTATTTCTCCACGCTTAAGTTTTTTGAATTTTGGCATAATTTTCCTATTACTTTTGACGGTACCGCATGCATAAATACCTATTGGTTTTAAATAAAGAAAAAGTCGCGGACTAGAATACCAATTTGATAAGCTCACGATTACTATGATAATAACCTTGTAAGAGTTCAGTGACTAATACCTAAATTTGGTACCTACTCTATTTGTGTTTGTGACCCACAGTAAACAATGAAATCAATCATAAACCCCGATTCGACATCACACAAAACAAAAAGTTTCATTCCAAATCTGTTTCGCTATTTTGACAAATATTGTTTGATTACCAGACGACCTTTGAAAGGCACAATGCTTTCATCAATGCATACTTTGCCTCCAGTGACCAATGTGTGTTGAAATTTTGATCGTGCGTGGTCAATCATCATTTGAATTTTATATAATCTTGATAAATTACTTACATCCACGGGTACTTCAGAAAATGAAAGCATAGCCAGAATTGAGCAATACCTATCTCTATACACAATACTGTGAAATATGGGACTATTTAAAAGGGGTCTACAGACCAATGTTCTTCAATAGTGATCCTTTTATTTCTGGTAAAGAGCATCGTAAGTGCTAAAAAGATATACAACAGTCACATCTTGCCACTTTTTTAAACGAGCGTACACCCTCAGATCCGTGTGCCTGACATAGTGTTGGTGATATTTGTTAGTAAAATAACATATTTTTTCTACTAAATCATTGTCACAAAAATGTTCAAAAAAATCCAGTTCCGAGGAGTCGCTGCTCAAAGGTACTGAAGGTGATACCCCTGAAATAAATTCGTCAAATTTTCGATATCAGGTACAGATATATCCAATGTCCAATTAATGCCTTCATTTTCCTGATGATCCTGAAATGACAAATTAAAATAACATTAGGTCAAAATTACATTTCGTAACAAATGGTAGGTAACGTAACAACGTAACGTATATAACTTTAACAAAAAAGGAACAGTTAAATTTCTAAAACAACTCCAGCACAAGGAATAATTCCTGTGTCGCGTGGGATTTCACAAACACACAAGTCACGGACACAATACACCTACACCCAAACTTGAACAATTATTTATGGATCACATAATAAATCGAACCCACGACCTCCGGCGCAGCAGTCAGGATCGCTAACCGCTAAACGAGCCACTAGGCTAGTCACAAATATCTGTGCAAAATTTTATGAATCTAAACTGAAAACTTAAACAATTTCATACAAACTTCCACCCTCATTATGGGGACGATTTCCGAAATTAAAAGTATCCTTTATCCTATAAATTGGTTCGGCTGTTTAAGCGTGAAAGAGTAACAAGACAGACAGAGTCGTTAAATATATACCATACCTGCGGATTTTAAAGCAGGTATAATATAAACGGAATATTTTTAAATGCACATCAAAGAACTTATAACCCATCAATTTATATTCATCAATTAAATAAGTTTTATAAAAATCTGCCTACGCGAGTCTCTGACAGACTTCGGTTTATCCAACCGTGCCGGGCTGAGTGGTAACGCCGGAGCACAGTAAGAGACAACGCCATACGGAACTCCGTTCGTTAAAAAGAGACAAACGCGAGTGCGATTGCCTGTCACTTGGTAGGTACTGTCACAGTACCTTTTTAATGGTAAGGACAACATACAACACGGTTCCAAATTTGAACAAACAATAGGATATATTATGTAGATAAATAATATACTAACAGAATTACATCACAATAAAAAAACTGTGTCGATTCATCACGGAGATACCTAAACCCGTAAAGGGAAGTCTTATTTATATTAACCTATACCTACTAAATAATGTGCAATTAACATAAGAAGTAATTGAAATAGGTACTTGCCTCACCATCACTTTCGATTTCTTCGACAAATTCAAATAATTCCGCTTCGTCGTCACCTTCCAATATTCTTATTAATATTCTTATTAATTCCTCAGTAGTCGTCATTATTGAAATGTGACTATTTTATCGACAATACCCACTAACAACATTAATGGAAATTTCCATTCGTTTGATCCGCTTGTGACGTAGGCAGTGGTCGTATTAATGCGACAGCCGCGCTAGACTGACTAGAGAAATGGTGTTGCAAACATAGGCGTCTAGGGATGGGAATTAACGTCAAATGTTTTCATTATACAAAGAGCCCGTGGGATATTTTTCTTATGAATAATAAGGAAAATAATTAATAACACTAGGTACCTAATAAATTAAATAAACTTTATTTCGTATGACATTGTTTATTTTATGCTGAATGTTTCATTATACCTGATTATTTTGCTGTTTGTTATTTCGTTTTGAAAATGCGCATTGCATTGTATCCCATCCCTATGGTCATATTTATGCGACGCGCTCGATAGACACCGAAGAAAAGTCCAAGCTGTCAATTACATATATTTGTTGCTTTTTCAATAAGTATTGAGCTACGAGACATAATTTTAAGTAATTGTTGTGAATAATATCTCTATTTAAAAATGGTTTTAGTTGTACCACGCAGTTAATAGGACAAAAATAGAACGAAAAAATCATGCACATTCTCTGTCGCAGAAATATGACACCAGCGGTAGGGATACGGAAATATGTGTCGCATAAAAGGTTAAAAAAGCTGAAGGTACTCCGGGTTTAACAACGACATTAGGACGTCAGTCATCTCAGTCCCCCGTGACCATGGGTACTGGAAAGCACCCGAAACGTCGGGAATTAAAAATAATTAAAATTAAACACGATAAAGTCCGTAAAAGTAGTTTTAATCAATATTTTTCATTCGCTTAGACATATGAAATTTGCTCAATTTTTTTTAAATTACTATACACGGTTTCGATCCATAAGCGTACAACACAAAAAGATATGTATTATTCACATTTTACTGTGTAAGTGCCTCTTAATTATTACATCAGCTCATAAAATCTACTGCCGAACATGGGCCTTTCCTGTGGTAAGGAATATTTGTCTTAATCGCCACTTTTTAAGCAGGCTGAAGATCTTCATACCATACGTCTCGCACCTTTGACGCTGCTGTGTGTTGCCTGCCTGGATATTTTATGTCTAACGTAAACGAGATGGTTATCCTGTCATCTATCTGAAGCCAAATTTATTGAGGATTTCACATAGTCGTCTCTGTTGACACCCACGGGACGGAATGTCATCTGCATGGAAATTTTATGTGTTTCATACACGCGATGCCGTTAATGTTGTCGACGATTATAATACTCTAAGACGATTTACATTAGGATTATCAACATCAGATTATGTTACTGGCGGTGTAAGATATCCACTATCCCATATCGTCCCATAGGCTGTCGTATTGAAAAAAAACTGCGGTTGCTAACCCTGCCAATGGTGGCAACTATGGCAATATCCCCCATATGAGGCAATTCTTTGGGGTTCCCTGTATTCACTAGTCGAGTTATTAGATACAATCGTAATAAAACAGATTAGACAGTTATCTCGCCATCAGAAATCATCGGACATCATTAGACTTCTTGACATTTCCTTTAGCTTCTTACGGCACCCGCGGGATGAAATGGTTTGAAGGATTCCTTAACGGCGACAACATATAACTACTAACTACTAACAAACAAATGGAAGTATACTGGTGATCTTTTTTATCGTATGGAAGAAAAATAGGGTGTAGGGTGAACGGAGTAGAAGCCTATGGCACTGATATTAAAAAAAATGAAAACAAAAATTTTGAATTAAATGTGGAAATTTTTGGACCCTACGAATTGACAAGATCAAAGATGCCTACTAAATTTATTGTTTTATTGCCGTTCGTAAAGTATGGTGGATGTGATTTGAATTTCGATAGATTTTAATTGATTTATTTATTTCATTCAATTTTTTTTTTGTAAAATATCAGTGCTATCTTCTACTCTATTTACATGTTACATCCTATTTTTTCCAAAAGGTAAAAAAGGTCAGCAACAAGCAACAAATCACTTTGTCACATGTTTACAATTTAATGTACAATCCATTATTTACTTGCATGTAACTAGGAGGTGGATGCGTGTGTTCATTGCAAGTCTTAAGAATTTTATATTCCTTGTTTGCGTAGAGAAATGCCTTGCAATGTGATCTACCGCGACTTCCACGACACGTACATCTCCAGCTAAGTGTTCCCGGCGGTGCTTTCCTCTTCACAAGTGTAGGGTCACTAAACGTATAGTTTTCATATCTTAATAATGTTTTCCCATTCGTCAGTTTGATCGTGTCTGCTGTAAAAATATAAGCTTCAATTAAATAATACCGTTTATTTTAAAGCTTAGTCAACTATTCTTATTATATTATGTAAATAATTGAACGTTTCTTCTTTTATTTATTTATTTATACTTTAGTGCACAAATTGGTACATATGGCGGACTTAATGCAATAGGGCACTCCCTCCCACTTAACCATTAGGCTAAACAGAGATAGATATTTAAGAGGGGGTGCAGCAAATATCAATGTATATATACAGCCATTTATAATATACTCTTATATACATATGAACATAAACATGTACGTAACTGCATATAATTATTGTCCATGTCGGAATAAATCTACACAATTAAAAAAAGGGTCTGTTTGGAATGTAAAATGACAGCTTTTAACTAAATGTATATGAAAGTAGGTATATATAATACAGTACTTAAAAAGTCAATATTTTAAATGTTTGTCTGTCTGTCTACTTGTTCCAGCCAATCACTGAAATGGCTTGACCGATTTAGACGGGATTTTCACTGGCAGATAGCTGATATTATAATAAGTAACTTAAAAGGTACTTTAATTTTAGAAAAAGAATTAGGGTTCCGCGCTGAAAAATAAAAAACAATTACACGGCGATTCGCGGGGTACAGCTATTATGAAATATATGAAAATAAAGTTGTGTTAGTTAAAACTTGCATATTTTTAAAAACAAACTTGTTGGGAGCTTTTTAAAGTCAATAGGAGAGCTAAACGCCGTGACGGCGAACGAGTGAGATAAGTAACCAGTATGGTGCAAAGGCGTGAGCAACTAGAGGTAAACCGCAGAACGAAGAGAACAATTGTGAAACTCCCAGGAAATGAAATTTAGATTTCAGATACTCGGGAGCACACGGATCTTGAGAATTCAGAAGTGCAGAGTATTCTAACATATCTGCGCTGACGGATAGACAGCCAATTTTACGAAGACCTAGATGTATCTGATGCATTTGTTAAGGAGATGATCCAATTTGTCAAGAAGATGGTGATGGTGACATATCTAGGCAACACGCATCGACATAATCAATAATCGGCAGAATAAGTGACTGAAATGTAGGATCTTAGTCTTAGGGGGGAGATTTTTTAAGCCGATATAAAGATCGCAAAGTTCCAGTAGTTTTGCTACTCCTGTTCTGCTTGTTCTATGTTATGCAACTATCGGCATAAAGCGAGATTGTTAACACGGTAATATATGAAATAAAGTAAAGAATACGTAAAGTAAGAAACTCATCTCATGGGGTATTAACTTTTTTTAGATAACTTTTTTAAGGCTTACAAACGAGCACACAGTTTACTTAACCTTTTCAATGCCACAAGATTTTTTTACTCATTTTGATCCACCTACATTTTTGCAATACATCGAAGAATTAAAAGAGATAATCCCACCAATTGTTATCCGTAAAATAAACTCGAAATACAGAGAAAAGCCTAAAATCATACGTTGCGTTGGTGGCACAAAGATATTAAAAATTTTGGGCAGATCCGGCAACGCAACCCTCGCGTAGTATGGCCGGTTTCATGCATTATAATAATGTTATATCTAAATATGTATACAATAATGACTAACCTAAAACGAAAATCTACTATATAAGTATAAAACATAAAAAAATGTTTCTACCTATGTCAGTGTTTTGAAACTAACCAACCCATTTTGATTAAATTTTTTGGGTGTGTTTGAATGGGTCCCTAAATGGTTTATATTCACATTTGGACTCGGTAGGTGGCGATGTTGTCGAGTTTTGGAAATCAACCGTGCGAAGCCGGGGCGGATTGCTAATGTTTTATGAACAAGGAATTGAATCAAGATTCTAATTAAACTAGTTGAAAAGTTTTATTGATAATTATGATAAACCTTAAAACAATTTACAGTGCAAAGTCCAGGCTGCTCAGCACAATCAGGACAGTAAAATGGGGTGTCTTTCTCATCGTCTTTCTCTTCCGAGGACAAGGTTGTATTACATGAATTTTAAAAGTGCGAGTAGTAATATTGACATCTCGAACAAAACTCTCAGTCACTGATAATCGGATATCATATAAAGGTTTCTTATTACCTGATAGTACGTTGTATATCGTGAAAGAATTATACAGAATTTTATAGAAAATGAACCCCCAAGTTTTTGTACCATCTTACAGTTTTGTGGTCACAACTGTAAATGATATATTTGATCTTGATGATCAATTCCACCCATATTTTTAATGTTTTGTTTATTATTTCTGTATTGCGACGCGTTGTTGTTGGCGTCATTTGTGCATTGTATTCTGATGCAACTAAGAGAACATCACAATTGTCTCACCATTTCATCACACAGATACATTTTTTATTATATTGCGCTATATACTACCTATACTGCCTCAAATATCTACCTATACTAGCTCTAGACAACCCCTAATACTACCCTCCAATATCCTATATTATCCTATACTACCCTTTTTTCGTTTTTTTAACCACTTCTTTTGGTTTATTTTTTTTATTTTGTCTTAGTGCGTAAATTTTTTTGTGTCAAAAGATTTTCGGCCAACTTAACAGAGTTATAAAAATTATCCATATATACACGGAATAACTTTTACAATAACTTACTATATATATATATATATATATCATATTATGTAACTATCGTATTCGCTATTTTTATCTACTGATTTATTTTGTTTTTATTTATTGTTTTATTTATATAATTTTCGTAACATTTTGTATATTATTTATTAATTAGTAGTAGTAATGTATGAAC